AATCTGTTTTTAAAGATGACTTAATCTCAGACATACTTACCACTCCCTCACCTTTAAGCCTCAGGCAGAGCAGTAATCCAGGTTAATTTATGTGACTGATTGCAGTTGTTCTTTACTGCATATCAGGAGAGGAAGGTCATATTGAAATCATACATTTAGTTTAATCAAACAGGAGGAAAGTGCTGAGCTAAAATACTCAGAAATCCTGAAAGGCAGGCTAAAATCTGTTTAGAAGCATACACTACCTGCATAGTTATTTTATTGGGCTGCTCCAGGGAAAACCTTTTGAAATATTGAAGGCATAGATATTGACCAGGGAAGGAGAATAACTGGGGTGCTGTGGAACATCGGGGTTTACTAGTGAGCCTTTCAAAGTCTTTATAAGACCTTGATGATGAGAGATGGCCAAATGATAACCAAAAATGATGTTGCAGCTGTTGCATGTATCACTTTCCTTTGATATCCTTTGATTTGATATTCTATGTAGCTTGTTTACCCAGAATAGCACATGTGGAAAGTTCCGTCAGTGGTGTTGTGTGGGAAAAATGAAAAATACCCTTGTTAAAATTTCTTAAAACGTCATATAGTTCATTATTGAAAACTCAAAAAAACTAATATTTTTGTTTTAGAAGGTCAAATGTCTCCTACTTCCCTGTAAAGTGCATTCTCAGTGTACTGTATGTGGAAAGTGGACCCTGAACCACTTTTAACATAGTTAATATGTTACAACTGTATGCTTGTTTGCATACAACTTCTACTTACGTTTGAAGTGAACACAGAGAAACATCCACCCTTCAGCAGATCAATCTGAAAAACATGCTTTATTTATCAAATCAAATTAAATCAAATTTATTTGTATAGCACTTTAAAGTGCCTTAGATTTGTGATTTTACTGCCTATTTAGATTTGTGTTATTGCTCATCTACCTTTGATCTTTGACCTTTAAAAACAACATCTAGTTGGCCAAAGTACTTTACATAGCAGAATAAAATCACAATAAATGACTAAAATAGAACAAATAAGATCAGTGCAAAAAATAAAACAACACAATAACACAGACACACAGATGACATAGTGTACATTCAATAAATTAAAATTAAAAGGAATGCATCAGGCCCTACTGTATATTAAAAGCCAAGGCAAATAAATATGTTTTAGGCAATGATTTAAAAGTAATGAGGTCATTATATAATTATATAGCAGAGGCTTCCGTAAAATCAGTTGAGCCAAAGCTAAATGTGCTGAAGCACTAGCATGCATTCTCTGCTGTTGCTGCCCATTAGCTGTTCTCTTGAAGATGCCCTTTGTCTATGACATTAGAAATTAGTGTGAAAATAGAGTGCTTATCTTATACAGTCATTGTTAGAAGAGAAATTTCAAAAGTTTCTGATATAAAGCAACATTCTGACCAAGCTAAAAAGTTTTTATTTTTAATGCCAGTTAAATCAGGGGTCCCAGTTTAAATGGTCTAATATAATGCTTTTCTATGCATTGATGTTCACTCAAAGCAGTTTTCATTATTTTCCATTCACCCATCAAGGACACTTAAACATGTGGATGGGAGAAGCCCTCTGGTTAGGAGATTACCTGCACTGCTGTCCAAACATTTTCACTTCTTAAACTGGTTGACAGATCATATGGTTACACAGTGTTTAAGTGTTGTACAACTGTGTGCAGGTGAGAGGGCAAAAAACAGAATGAAACAGAGAAAGCAAGACAGTGAGACCAGGATGTGATCTGGCATGTTTCTATAGCCATAGCTCTCTGTATCCCTAAAATAACCACACTCACTCACTCACACACACACACACACACACACACACACACACACACACTGTCTTTTCATTCCTTGTGGGGACTTTACATTGACTTACATTCATTTCATTTCCTGTAGACTTATCCTAAACTTAACCATAACACTACTTGCCTAACTCTAACCCTGACCCTAACCTCATCCTAACCCTAAATTATGTTTCCACCCTATAATTCAGTGATTTCCTTGTGGGGACTAGCTTCTGGTCCCCACAAGGATGGTTGAGTCCCCACAGTGTGAGTGTATTAACAGGTTTCGATCCTCATGATGTAAGTAATACAAAGGCACACACACATACAGTAACCTTATTACAAAAAAGGGCAATCTGTAGCAGCTCCTGAAACATGGCAGTCATAGTCTGTTTTGTCACTGCTGAACTCCCCAAGAGGAAGTGTCTGGAAAAACTTAGTTGTCAACACTGAACAGTGGCTAAGCAACAAGTAATCTGCTGGTGTTTCTGTCTTCCCTGCACTGTGCATAAAATGTCTTGTGTTCTTTGTTTGAGAGTGATTATTGAGAAGTCAGCTCTAGATAGGCTTGTCCTTTAGTAAAGTGCCTTGTGGTATGGACTGACTGACACACAGATCAATTTACATTGTCTGAGACAAAGCTTCACTGGACTGCTTTGAATATCTGAGGCTCTAAATAACAGTGAGGGGTAACTGAAAATGTTTTTTCTCAAAATCCAGAAATCTTGAGATTGCACTATAACCACAAAAATCCTAGTTTTGGGTTAAAGAGTAGGGCTTATGATTGACAGCATGTCACATCAACTCTTTATCATAGCTTGGAAAATGTATGTGGGGAAAAGTGCTGATCTCTCAGTCGCTGTATTATTGAAAGCAGGTTACCTTTTTTTTTTTTTACCTTTCTGAGACCACTGTGCACATACATTTGAAGCAAACTCTGAAAAGATGTGAATGACTGGATAACTTCAGTGATGTAAAAATAATTCATATCCGTCACTTAAAATTACAGTTTGTATTATTTTAAAGTTAAGACAGTGCTAGCATGAGAACTTAAGATTAATTGCCTCCGCTGCACCCAACCCTCTCTCTCTGTTGTTAGGCTCTGTGCAGCTCCAACCAGCCCATCATGAATGCCAAGCCGCCACACACAGTCAGTTTGGAGAGAAATTCACCAAGTTAGCAGATAGCATTCAACTGGTGGGCATTAAAATGTAACTCAGCAAGCTGAATGCCCTTCTTCATGTCTACTGTAAGCACGGCACAACCACTGTTCAAAGTGTCCTGGTATGTGGTCCTTCACATCCCATTCAGTATTTGGCCATGTGACCACTGTCAGAATAATGAGATTGGAATTTGTGTTTTTTGTTTTTGTTTTTTTAAGTACCTGCATATATTGCCTAGCATCATTTGGTGTTGGCCCCTCACAGATATGTAAAAAGAAATATGGAGGAGAGCAACATTAGCAACGGGGTCAGTGGAGAGATGAGGAGAATTCACTTTTGCCGGACCCTTAAAGAGAAGCTTCTGATCAAGACAAACTGGAGGGAAAATAGTGTAAACAAGCAGTTTGAGGAAATTATGATATTTGACTGTCACACACTGTTATTGTTGTACACATATGACTCACATTTCAGTGAAATCTGTGCATGCATTGCAATGTAGGAGCTCAATGGTGTTCAAATTGGAGCTGAATACATATGCCAATCAAAAACATGTTTGGCATTTAAAAAAAATTTTTTTTTTAATTTTAAATGGAGCATTTAGGCCCGTGATGCGAACTTAGCTTTATTTGCATTCCACAACTGGTTAACTTTGCCTGAACAAATAGAAGAAAGCTACACAAGACAAGGTGTTGAAATACACCTGAATCAATACAACTGAATCATCCAAGAGGTTGTAGATTCACTCTGTGTCAGTGTTGTGTTTGCTCCCTGCTGGGCAGTATTTTCAGAGTAAACTTGATTTTACTGCTTGTAGTTTTGCCACTTGATGATCTCCAGCTTTGAGATTGTGACATCACAATACATCATTTTTGGTAAACAAGTTGTCTTGTCCAGTCTTAAATAGTCAAATGTTCAATCAAGATGCTGAACCTCAAGTTAGTCAGTTGTATTCCACTTAATTTCCAAAATAATTGTCTTTCAGAGTCATGGACCAGTGGTGTAGGCTTCATTCAAGTGGCCACAGCACTTAGTGAGTCTTCATCCATTCACAGTGATACCCTATACCACCTGACCAGGGACATGTCTCTGGACCCCATGTCCTATAGCATCCTGGAACCTGAACTGTATAAAAACGATTTCTGGTCTGAAGAATCACAAAGTTTGCTACAGGTGAGGAGAGAAAGCTTGATGTATGTAAAAAACAACAGAATATTAATTTATTTTTTGCTTTCTGAACTAGATAAGACACTGCTGGAGTGACATATTTCATTGCATTGCATCATTTCAAGTCTGCGTAAAATCTGATAATTGCAATCAATGATAATGATGGAAGGAGCTGTTCCCTGAGATTTGTTTTGAAGATACTTATTCTTATAATAAGAAATTAGTTTGATAAAAGACTTCAGTTAAGGAATATGGCTGATATTAGAAATAAGTTCATGGCAAAGCCTGGGGTTCATAGTGAAAGTTTATGTTTGTGTGTATTATTAAGTGTGAGGTTGTGTCTGAAGTCTTTTTTGATAGGCTTAACGTGCCCATGACTTGCTCTTTTCCAGCCATTAAATGTTTAACCTCGGGTACCTCTCAAATAGCTTTGCACCTATCATAACTCCATATAGTCTGTAATTATTTCATAATGTTAAAAACCACAAACCAAAAAATGTTGGGAACCAGTAATCTTGAAAAAAAATATATAACCGAGGGAGAGATACTGTATGGGGTAAGTGCAGGTCTCTCTCCAAGTTACATCAGTGAGCTAAGCAACAGGGCTGTTCGATCTGTCCACACTGCAAAAAATATCCACCTTTACATGCCACTAAGACAACATATTAGTGCAAAAGACATTTGTAACAGAACAAATTAGAATAAGCTTCGACGGGTATTCAGTCAGCTGATTTGCGTTGATTTTGTTTCATTAAACCGGCATTTTGAGACTTTGCATCAAGACAAAACAACCTGTTGAAGATGGACGTTTTTTACAGTGTGGCACCGCTCCGTGCCAACAGCGCGGGCGGCGCGCAGGCAGCCTCCAGATCACAGTTGGATGGACGAGTATCACCAGCGTGTGATCTGGCTGCGGAAAATAAACCCACAGCATCTTAAATCTAACGGATTCTTATTTAACAAGACAGTAAAATCTGTCGCAGATGAGCCATCACTCCTCTCGGACTGGAGTGACCTCCAGCGTCATTTTGGGATGATGGAGATGAAAGTGGCGATGATGAATGCGGCTGTTTTTTTCTGTGCAAACCGCCAACTTTCGTTCCCCCTTTTCTTCTCTGTGTGTCTCTAAAATACAACACGATGCAGATCTCCCCAAGCGAAGACAAGATCCCGGTAAGTACAACCGTCGCTTGTGCATCTCTTGCATTCCTCGTCCTTTCCTTGGGTTTAGTTTCTGTAACTACTGTAGCTACCTTTACATCCTGTGACCAGTCTTTGTTACGACCTAATGAAATAGTTTTCATCCGCGATGCTGCTGATGATAAACGACTGCTCAGGAAGTGATTCTTTCTCTTATTGTCGAGTACCTCATAATTCTTTCCATGGAAGCAACGCAAGGCAACATTAGAAACCGAGATGACCCGTTCTGTCTTACCAAATTATCGTTGTTGTTATTATTGACATGCAGACTAGATTGAGGAAGGACCCGGAGACACAGGTTGCTTTCTTGCTTTTTATTTCCACAAACACACGCGGGCAGCTGCACCAACAAACACCGATCAATCCCTGCCAGCCCCTAAATAAATACATCCCGCCCAGAGGGGACATTATCGGGGATCCCATTAGGTGCTTCCCTTCAAGGCATTCCCCCCCAAGTGTCTGTCCGCCCCCAACACTACACAGTTATTCTAATGAAGGTTTTCGGGTTCGAGCCTTGGCCGACCCGGTGCCTTTCTGTGCGGAGTTTGCATGTTGTCCTATGTGTCTGTATGGGGTTTCCCCGGATACTCCGGCTTCCTCCCACAGTCCGAAGACATGCATCTTAGGTTGATTGGCGACTCTAAATTTACTGTAGGAGTGATTGTATGTGGGGTTGTTGGTTTACGTGTTAGCCCTCTGCCAAACTGGCGACCTCTCCACCACTGTCAGTCGGGATTGGGTCCAGCTGCCCCTTTTCAGAATAAGCGGTATAGATAGTGGATGGATTATTATGCTATTATATATGTTTCAAAGGGATTAGTTCAGGTAAGATGTTTACCACGTTCATTTTATGGTTGCAACAAAGGTGAGGTGAGAACTTGAAATGAGGCGAAGGAAGGTCCCCCCTGAGGTTTAGTTATGTTTCTACCAACACAACCATCTGAGAGACTTCTTGGAACCAGCCAGGCTAAACCAAATGGGAATTTTCCAAGTATGATCTTCTACACAAAGACATTTCAGCAAACAGAAACCATAAAGGAAAGTTCCAGGAGTTTGGAGGTATAGTTTCAGGTGGACTTTTTTTTTTTTACTTGATAGTAGTTTCTTTCCAGCTTCTACAGTAGTTAAATTGATAGATGCTGAGAAAATTGTATTTTATTTTGAGATATCTTTTGATTGTGAAACTGTGTCTGTAAAGAATAGACACCTCCAAGTTAATTTTTAAGAGCTACATTTTCATATGTCGTGCACTGGTCTGTACTCTTTGCATGCAATGCAGTAAATATAAATGACATAGGACTGCTAGAGTAACTGTCTGAAACACCAAGACAGCAGGAACAAAGTTATGTAACAATCACCTGGATGCACAAATAATTGATTAAAGAACACTCACACGGATGTATGCTGATGGGGCGGAACTACAGTATGATGGTCATTACATGAGGTCACCAAGCTTCATAGCTGTGTCTAATGTCATATTACTTATTCACAAGTCCCTACATAATAAATACTCAATATTTACTCTATAGTATTTGTAAATTTCACACTGAGAAGTCAGAAATATAAATACAGCCCATGTTCATGAGTGATTAGGGTGTTAGTTGCTTCACCCAAGAGCTGTACAAAATATGTCAATCAAGTACATTAGAAGAGGCCTGATTAAAGTGAGAATGTGCAGGAGGGCCATAGATGTGTATGGGCTTTAAAATGTTTTTAGCTAATCTGGCATGTGAAACAACAAAGCATGTGATCATTTTTCAGTGACATAGATAATAGTCAGAGCCTTCCCTCTTGTGTCCTCCATGTTTAATCTCCCTCTCTACTTTCACTCTATCTAAATAAAGAATAACACTGCCAAAGGTGTGCTGACTGCCCCCTCAGCCACCGAAGGTTCTTACTTAAGTGCTTTTGAGAACCTGCCAAAAGTCACTTCTGTTTGTGTGTTGAGAGTGCAGTAGATGTTTAAGTTCATTCAAACAATTATTACATAACCCAACTGCTGCTTAAAGGTACTGTGTATGCTGTTTTTACACAATTTATGTGTTAAATTAGGTGAGATACCTTGGTATGGTCTCTGTAAGCCAAAGAGTATATGATGAAGATGATTGGTCTCATCCATTGGCACTACTGTGCTAATGCTTCTGGGTTTAGTGAGAGCATCCTCTTCTAATTTGTCATGTCTTCCTACAGGTTGTGGATCCAGCTTCAAGCCCTCGGGATAACGACGAAGGCCACTACTTTGCTGATGGCCAACGTAAAGTTGACTACGTTCTGGTCTTCCACTGGCATAGGCACAGTTCCTTACGATCTCTTGTCAACACCTCAGTTTCACAGGACCGGTTATCTGTTGTTTCCAATGGCAACTTTCCCCTGACAGTGGGCTCAGAAGCAACAGCGGGAAAAAAAGTGGCCAAGCCGGTAGTAGATGCTGCATGTGTTGGTGAGGTGTTCATGGAACTTGGATCTGCAGGAGGGCATGATCATGGAGAAGCTGCTGACAAAGAGATGCGTCTGATCAGAGAAGAGTTTGAGGCCAACTTGCAGGACGCCGGCCTCGAGATAGAGAGAGACAAAGACGTGAGTGTGTGCATGTGTGTATGTACTGTATTTGTGACCATACTGATGTCCATATTCTTCTTTGTCTTTCCTCTCTAAGGCACTTTACTCACATCTAAAATGGTTGCACATTTTACTTTCTAATGTTGCAATATTAAGTGGCAGTGCAGTTAAGAGTGAAGATTTTAGTGAGCACTATTCTTTGGTGGTATATTTAAAGGTGTATAAAACAATTTCACATTGTCCTTATCACAATGTCTTGTTCAGATATGTAGTTTCAGACAACATTAGTCAAAACTTGCGGCTCTATTTGTCAGCAACTATTAAATCTCACTTAAGTTCCCTTAAATACACATTCTAACAAAAGTTAACACAGCTCTTGCTTTTAGTTGAATTGGCATAAAGTGACAGGACTCAGCGTTCAGTGTGATGTTGGTTGTCGTTGGTTTTAATACATTTGTTAAATTAACTGAAAGCAGCTGTTTTATGGAAGGTAATAACATTTCATTTATCATTGTAAAAGCCCTTTGTACTCAGAGTTTAAAGTTCAGGATTTTCATTGTCATGCTGTATGTTTAGTGCGATGAACAGAACATACAGAAATACTTGAACTTGAAACAGTCAAATTAAACAGGTAATGAAATGAACAACCGATGATTAGAGATTAGGATGTAATAAAATATGCAATAATAAGCAGTATGAATTAACATTCTTGACATCAAGCACACCTTAAGTGATATGGAGATTATGCTAAAACACATTTAAGACAGAATTAATTTGGAATCATGTTTATTTCCACCTGATGAGAAATGTAGAATACATCTAATAATCCTTTCCTTTTAGCTCTGGTTTGGTACCCTCTAACACCTGATGGAAAAGTGAAACAAATTCTAACTTTTCCTAAAATTGTCTGTACTTAGTAGCTTTGAGTTCGCCAGTTTGCTGGTTTGTTGCTACCTTTGTCTTACTACTATTTAATATTGTTAGGGGGTTATCAGAGCTTTTTTTTTTTTGAAAACAGTGCTTATGTCAAGTAGCCTATACCAGCAGTACCAATGACCTTGCAAGTAGCGACATTCTGGAAGCGACACATTATTGAACCGAGAGAGTATGGTTAGCAGCGAGAGCTAACCATACTCTATTGGTTCAATAATAGGATAATCACCTCATCCTTTCTAATCTTTGCTACTTCCTGCTCTACAATATTCACCCCCCCTTCCCTCTCATTTTCCCCATTCATCAGTTTCTCAAAATACTCCTTCTATCTTCTCTGCACACTCTCCTCGCTTGTTAGCACCTTTCCATCTTTGTCTTTAATCGCCCTTATCTGTTGCACATCCTACCCATTTCTATCTCTCTGTCTCGCTAATCTGTACAAGTCCTTCTCACCTTCCCTCGTGTCTAACCTGGCATACAACTCATCATATGCTTTCTGTTTGGCCATTGCCACCTCCCTCTTCACTCTACGCTGTAACTTCTTGTAATCCTGTCTACTGTCTTCAGTCCTTTCTATGTCCCATTTCTTTCTAGCTAGCCTCTTCCTCTGAATGCTGTCCTGTACTTCCTTGTTCCACCACCATGTTTCCTTATCTTCTTTCCTCCTTCCAGATGACACACCTAGCACCTTCCTACCTGTCTCCCTGATCACTTCTGCTGTAGTTTCCCAGTCATCTGGAAGTTCTTCCTGACCACCCAAAGCCTGTCTCAACTTCTGTCTGAATTCCTCACGAATTCCTTCCTTTTGCAACTTCCACCACTTGGTCTTCTTTCCTGTCTTTCCTCTCCTCTTCTTCCTGACCACCAGATCATCCTACACACCACCATTCGATGCTGTCTGGCTACACTTTCTCCTACCACCACTTTGCAGTCACTAATCTCTCGCAGATTCCCGCTTCTACATAGAATGTAGTCTACCTTCATACTCCTACCTCCACTCTTATATGTAACTCTATGTTCCTCTTTCTTCTGGAAATAGGTGTTAACTACAGCCATTTCCATCCTCTTAGCAAAGTCCACCACCATCTGTCCTTCTAGGTTCCTTTCTTTAACACCAAACCTGCTCATCACCTCCTCATCACCTTTGTTCCACTCACCAACGTGCCCGTTGAAGTCTGCCCCGATCACCACTCTCTCCCCTCTGGGGATACTCTCCATCACCTCATCTAACTCACTCCAGAATCTCTCCTTCTCTTCTAACTCACACCCTACTCGTGGAGCATAACCACTGACTACATTCAACATTACCCCTTCAATTTCCAACTTCAAACTGATCACCCTATACTGATCACTCTATATAGTGTTTCAACTCATATCCAATAACTCATAATTTTAGTATTTGAATTTTCAAGCCAGGAATACCCAACAAATCCCCCTTGAGCAAACACTTGTCAACACTGCAGAGGAAACACTCCCTTTAACAGAAGAAACCTCTGACACGAGAGGGGAGGAGAGGAGAGGAGCTCAGAGCATCATTGGAGGGCCCCCCAGCAGTCTAGGTCTATAGCAGCGTAACTATAGGTGACCCTGAGGCTTCCCTAACTGTAAGCTTTATCAGAAAGGAACGTTTTAAGTCTAATCTTAAAGATAGAGAGTGTCTGCCTCCCGAATTGAGACTGGGAGCTGTTTCCAAAGGAGAGGAGCTTGACAGCTAAAGGCTCTGTCTCCCTTTCTACTTTTGTAAACCTTAGGAACCACAAGCAGACCTGAACTCTGAGAGTGAAGTGCTCTATTGAGATGATATGGCACTATGAGGTCTTTATTAACTTAACTTAATTTTTAAAAATCAAATATTTCATGTGACACTAAGTAATGGGTAAATTTGTTCTGAGCGGACATAATGGAAAGCTCCATTATACTGTACACTCCAAACTGAGTCTCGTATCAGTCATTAATGTGTAAACACTACACCCTACAATAGGCAGTAATCTGTGCCTTGTTGAACCATTCTACATGACAAAAGTTTATTCAGATGACCATAAAATAGGCTTTGTTGACTTTCTTCAGCAGAATCAGTTCATATTTCATGATGAAACCTTCAGGCGGAGGCATGGCAGTCACGAAATCTGAATGTAGCCCATTCAGTCATTCATTTTCTTATTGATGCATGGATATATTATTATAGTACATGCTAGTATATAGCAAAACCACACAAGCCAACAGTTTCTACTTTCCAGGTTTGCCTCTAAGATGTGAAGCCAAATGTACAGTACAATAACATCAGTATTTTTTCCACTGGTCTTTTGTGCAACTTCCTTCTCATACCATGGACATTACATTGGGATGGATTCAAAATTTGTCATAGAAAAAGTAATAAACTTTTTTATTGGCAACTATAAGTGCCCAATGGGGCAAACTGTGGTCAAAGATGGACCATATTTATATTAGGGATGGGCAATGATTTTCACATTTTCGAATAGTCATTAAATTAATTCTTTTTGGAATTCAGTTTTATTTGTATAGCACCAAATCACAACAAAAGTCATCTCATGACACTTTACATAGTAAGGCCTAGATCTTCTTCTTCTTCTTATTAGTATTATGATTATTATTATTATTATTATTATCGTTGTACTATGGGAGAGAGGAGACACAAATTTAGTGATGCATAATGGTGGCATATAGGTGCATGGAGATGCAGGGGAGGAGGGGAGCTCAGAGCATCATGGAAGGAGCCCCAGCAGTCCAGGCCTGTAGCAGCATAACTACGGGAAGGTTCAGGGTCACCTGAGCCAGCCCTAAATGTAAACTTTATCAGAAAGGAAAGTTTTAAGCCTAATCTAAAGATAGAGAGGGTGTCTGCCCCCCAAATTGAGACTTTGGGCTGGTTCCAAAGGAAAGGAGCTTGATAGCTAAAGGCTCTGCATCCCATTCTACATCTGTAAACTCTGGGAACCACAAGCAGACCTGCATATTGAGAGCGAAGTGCTCTGTTGAGATGATATGGCACTATAAGGTCTTTATTAACTTAATTTTTAAAAATCTAATATTTCATGTTACTGTGGTTTTGTCTTTAAAACAAAGAGCCACTATTTTCCCTTGCTTTTACCGGTGCCTGGAAATAATGCAGTGATAAGGTCAGTATATAATTTTCCTACAATGCCAAATAGAAACAGCAGAAACACACAGAAACTACAGCCATTAAGAAAAACATGGGATGACTGGATAAATTGTATGATGATAATGCATGTGAGCTGCAGAGCCATTTAGCAAGTGTTGAAAAGGTGTCTCTGACCACAAATGCATAGACAGTGCTTACAAGTGAATCATATGTGACAGTCATCTGCCATTATATAACCAACTGGAAAATACAGAGTGCTGTTCTTCAGACTAAAGTAATGCCGGAGCAGCATGCTGCTGAAACCCTGGTGAATGTGCTTTCCACCACCGTGGAACACTAGGGACCTACAGGTAAAGTTACAGCATGCCTACATGATAATATGGAGTGGCAAGAATGGGACTCTCAGCAATGTAGGTGAGGGGTGGGGGTTGTGATCTTTTGAATAATTGTATAGTTCCCGAAGGATAGTGAATAGCATCTTAGCTTGAAATACCCATCCTTAATTCATATCTACCTTGTTTAATACATCCATGCTTAGGGGTACAGGCACAGTCGTCATACCCATATGCACAATAAGATATCCACCTGCGTACTGTGTACTTACGGTGCAGTATTCTTACACCCATTAAAGTCAACAAAAATACATCCAAATGTTCTGTAGTAGATAGAAACAGATACACAGGTAGGCGTATTCAGTTAAAGCATATAAACAAATAGAACCTTTCAACCACAAATGTGATATAAGATCATGTATAATTTTTCAGTAGTAACCGTATCATGAAACACTAAGTAATGGGTAAATTTGCTCTGAGCGGATATAATGGAAAGCTCCATTATACTGTACACTCCAAACTGAGTCTCGTATCAGTCATTAATGTGTAAACACTACACCCTACAATAGGCAGTAATCTGTGCCTTGTTGAACCATTCTACATGACAAAAGTTTATTCAGATGACCATAAAA